ACATTTGGGAAAAAAGACATTAAAAAACAAGACAGATTTATTACGTCACATTATGGACCTTTGAACTTTGAGCTTTTTAACTTTACTTTATTTAGATCAGTATTTTTTTTATTTTTTTTTACTGCAGGTGAGTTAAAAACAAGTCACAAATACAATATGTTCCATTCGTGGTATGTCAGTATAATTGTCCTGTTAGACAAAGCTATGATTATCCTGCACCCACCCCCTCACCCCCTCACCCCCACCTGTCTCCTCAGCTTCACTTAAAGCCGTCTGAACCTGGGTGTTGGAGCGCGGGGCTTTGGAGGGAGGCTGTAGAATGTGGGTGATAGCTGCTAAACGAAGGCTGCGCTGCCATCTCTGGTAATTCACAGCCTTCCTGGGTGTGAGTCTGAGGCCAACATGAAGTAGAACCGTCAGAGGGGGGAGAGAGGGGGAGAGGGAGAGAGAGAGAGGGAAGGAGATGAGTGACTTTGTCAAAACTGAGCTCATGTTTACATTTAAATTAGACCAGGGATTTTAACATGTTAAATACTAATAGATACGCCTGGAAATAATCTGCATTTTAAAAAAATAAATAATTGGTTTGTTGCATTTAGAGAACTTTAGTTTGATCCTCATCTGTGTGGCCAAAATGAAGGTACTGGTGACTCAAATGGGCCTCGGGATATGACCCTGAGGGACACCTGTAGTCAGTGAGTTATTTATCAGACTAGAGTGACTCATTTACTGGCTCCTGTGTCACTCACCTGCCTGCCTACTGGTACATTTTTTTATTACACATTTTACTGCAGTCCTGGTGATTCACTCTTTTGTTTTCACCTGCTTCAAAGTGTGTCATTATTTTAACTTTTTTTTGTCTTGTTTTTTTTTTATCTGTGTAAGTAAATAAAGAGAGTAAATGACACCATGAATCACACCAGTGTTGACACATAAATAGTTCCCCTCCATATCGACCCCTGCTGGTCAGAGTGAATAGATGAAGTGATGCGTTGACAATAGGCCGTGAATAGTGTCTGTCCCACTGGTCTGTGGTTCTCTGCAGCTCTCTCAATCACATGCTAACCTTCCTGTGAGCGCTGGGCGTCAGCTGAGTGTCGTGGAGTGGGGTGGAGTGGAGTGGGGTGCTGGATGGAACTGATGAAAAGGTGTGTGTGTGTGAACTAATTAAAGCTGGTGTGACGGAGTTGTAAACATATGGTTCCGCTTGCCGTACGAAAAATCTTAATTTGCCGTTTTATTTTATTGTTTTGAATTTCATCATTAACATTTTTTTTATTTATTTTGTATTTCAGAGCGAGGCGTGTGTGTGTGTTGCTACAAAAAGAACTGCGTTTGTTTTCAATTTTTAAAGCCATAAATAAAAGGTGACGTGATGACGATGATTTTACCAGTATTACAAACAGAGTTCGCTGCCGCTACACTGATACCTGTCCATTCCAAGTTCCATTAGAAAAAAATTTGGACTCCCATCGGTCGGAGCGTCTGCACAAGTGAAGGTCAATGAAACCTAAGAATTTTCTTTTTCCAAGAACTGTTAAAATCACCACTCAGATTACGAAAATAAAGTTGTGCATGATGCATTCGCACTATCTATCTCAATAGGTGTGATTATTAAAAATTAATAATGAATGGGAATGGACCTTAAAAGGGTGTTTACAAACTGTGTGTCCCAGCACCTGGAAGACCTGTTTTGATTTTAAAAGGAACTGAGTATTCTGCTGCAGATTTGAGCACAATTCATCTGACAAGAAAAAAAAAAGGATCTGGCATCAAATGAAAGTTGACAGAAGCTTTAGTGTACAGACTTCACGTGTTTGACTGTGACATCTGCTGCCGCTCCCCTCTCACAGTCAGCATAAAGACTGACAGGGCAGGTCAAATGGTAAAGCTCATTTGAAAAATGTCCGTCAGCACACAGGAGCGTGAGGCTAAACATTCAGCTTGACTGTACTGCCATAGCTAATACTAGTCACTGGATACAGAAGCTACAGTAAAGTACTGCAGTATTGTTCACGAGGACCACATGTGTCAAAATCAGGCCCGGGGGCCAAATCTGGCCCGCGGTGTAATTATATTTGGCCCGCGAGATCATATCAAATGTGTACTACAGTTGACCCACCAGTATGATGGCCCTGTGTATGGGTTAGGGTTTGTAGTATTAGTGGAGTATGTGCTATGTTATATCACAGTATTTAGTTTAGTTTTGTTGTTGTTGTTGTTGTTGTTGTTGTTGTTGTTGTTGTTGTTGTTGTTGTTGTTGTTGTTGGTCTGCTGTGGATTGGAGTTTGACGCCCGTGGGTACAGGTGACCTGGGCAGTGGTGGTTTCCGTCCACCGTGTGGCAGCGTGACAGTGTGCACAGGTAGCAGGCAGAGCAGAGCAGAGCAGAGCAGAGCTGTTGTTCAAACACAGGAGCTGCCTGTGTACTCAGTAAACCTACTAGCCCTTAGCCTCTTGACAAAAGCAATTAGTTTGATCCTGTGAGGCCCAGACACGGAGAGTGTGTCACACCAGAAAGTCGACTGTTAAATTCCTGGAGCGGCCGAGCTCCGAGTGAAAAAAACAAAACACACAACAACAATAAAGACAGAACCATCAGACAGACAGGAAGACGGACGGACGGACGGACAGCAGACGTTCACCTGCAGACACACAGTCTTCAGGTTTCACTTTTGTCTCGTGGCTATTTCTGCTTGAACAGTAATGTAAACAGAGCTGAGCTGTGAGCCATCTGCCTAATGTCACTGTGGTCTTTATCTGTCTGCCCCGCTCCACTCACAATTAGACTCCGCCTCCTCTGGTTCTTCTTCTGTGGTCTTTTTTTTTTTTTTTTAAACTTCATTCTGCTTTTGACTCTTTACTATTTTTGTTTTTTACTTTCCCTCCATCATCTGTCAATCATCTGTCAATCATCTCATCCCTAAAGCTGCAGTTTGGTTTTGCAAGATTGATTTATTATTTATTAATTCCCAGCACATTTCTCCGTCCCCGTGGGTAACTGGCACCAAATCTGTGAAATCTGACGACCTCAAGTGCGAGTAGAACCGATTGGACCCAAAACCTCAGTGGCAGACGGTGGTGTTCTGTGCCACCCTGTGGTGTGACTTGATTTCGACCCAATTGCAAACACGTGTTTCCAACAGCCAGTGGAAAAGAGAGAGAACGAGAGAGAAAGAGAGAGAGAGAGAGACAGGAAGTAGGATAGACTAGACTGGGGTAGAGAGAGCATCAAAACAACCACCAGGGAGAGAGTGAGGAAACCTGGACTACATGTATTTATATATATGTATGTATATAGATATACATATATATAAATACAGTATATGTACATATATGATATATATGATATAGCATCAATAATAATATCAATACACCGTATTAGTAATAACAATAATATCACATAATTATAATTGTATAACATATGAATATAATTCAATATTAACAGCAGTTCATAATATCAGCAAAATAATCGTAAACTCTTCGCCCTCTCGACTGCCCTTTGGGGAAAAAATAACAATTTCTAGATTTAAAATCTGTCTCTGTTCTCTGTTTGGTCACATCCATTTATTTTCTTTCCACCGTGCTGTATATTCAAGTGATATCACATTAGAGCTGGAGGTCAAGAGGGCTGGGGGGGGAAGGGGGTGAGGGGGTGGTCTTGTCTTGCTGTTATTATCAGCCCGGCTGTGATTGGCAGAGCACCAAACATATCAACGCTGGGCTGATGCTGTACTCGACCCTGAGTTTTCGCCACAACAACATGGAGGAGGTGACGACAATCAGCAGCTCCAGGTTCTGTTGTTCAGACTTTGGTCCTCGCTCCACCACACTGGAGTAAGAGTACACGAAGAGTACACCGTACTTCACTGTACTCACTGTCTTTGAAGTACAGTACACTGCACCTGCATTAGTGCTGTGTCGTCAGAGTTCAGCTCCTGGACCGACGTCCTGAAGCCGGTCGGAACGCCGTAACGTGAGCAGGTGTCTCGCTCGGTGAGGGAGCGCCAAAAGTTCAAGGTCGCCATCTTTTGGTCCCTCATCCTGATAGGATTTCATTGTTTGTGATGTCACTGATGTGGAGCGTGTCCACGATGGCAGCGATGGGAAAAAAAGAAAATATGTGGAGCATGCCCACGATGGCAGTGAAAGAAAAAAAAGTTCAGTATTTTGTCACGGGGTAAAGATAAAACTGAGGGGCGTGGCTCGTGGAAAGGTCAGTGAAGAAGAACTGCTCCAGTGGGATTTTTCAGGTTTTCTTTAGTTAAAATAATTTAAACATTATTGATTCTATTCTTGGGAAATTCTTGTGTTACCAACAGAGCTGCTGCCACGGACTGCCCCCTGGAGGCGGCCAGGAGAATCACACCCTAAGACTTAAAGTTTTCAAATTGAAATTGAAGTTTCATCATTTTTCTTGAAGACCAACGTCCAAACACATTTGACCGTTTTTTTATTACTTTGTTCCCAAAACAATCCCGACCACATGTCCTTTCATGAAAATAAGAATTTCACACGTTTCCAGGAAGACTTTCCTTTCCTTGAGGCTTTGTTGTTATTTTCCAACTTTTGGCCTCACAGGTTTCTACATCCTTTCCAAATTTTCAAAGCAAAGGCGGCCTGGAGACTTCAAAGACCAGGTGTGACGCTCGTCCACACAGTTCTATAACTCATCCCACTTGGGAAAAACACTGTACACTGGAGGGTTTTTTTTTGGACAGGATGAAGTGATGCAGCCTAACAGTTATCAGTTGGTCCGTGGTCAGTCGTTTCCTGTCAGAGGAAGTGTGTCCGTGCACGTCTTCTGAAAGTATAGATTAGACACAAATAAAGCCCGTTTCCTCCTGGTCTTCCTGTAAAATATACAAGTGGGATGCGTTATGAACCTGGAAGGAAGTCACCAGAATAATGTACAATTCTAACAGCACTTCCTGCTCAGACGAATAAGAGCCCGTTCCTGCAGGAATCTCTGTGTTGACCACCCCCCCTCCTGTGTTTCAGGTGAGCGCTAACGTCCTGATCTTCCTCTGCACCAACATCATTGGGATCTGTACCCACTACCCTGCAGAGGTCTCCCAGAGACAGGCCTTCCAGGAGACCAGGGGCTACATACAGGCCAGACTGCACCTGCAGAGGGAGAATCAACAACAGGTAATGTCACACACACACACTTGTTTTTGTGTTTTGTCAGCACATTTCTTTGACCTTATCCTAAGTTTGATCATTACAAATGTCTGTGAGGCAGCCAGTGGTTTGACGATTGCTGGTTTGATTCCCGTCTTGGGTCTCAAACACATGCGCTTGTGTTTGTCTATGTATTCATTCTTCTGCAACTCTTGATAAATCTATATAGATATATAATTATACTTCATCCAATCCAAGCTGTGAAATTACAGTTATATTAACTGATAATATTCATTCAAACTCAGAAACAAATGTTGAACCTCAAAATTCCCTCTCAGTTTGTAGGGACCTGCAAAATGTCCCCACAAGTAAGTTAAACCAGGAGCACACACACAGTCAAAATGTGGCTGTAGGTGGCAGTAAGTGTCTGCATGAATGTGTAAATAAATAACCAGCACCTACAGGTCAGGATGGAGAACTGTCCAAAACTGTCCTCACGAGAATAGCTCAACCAGGAACACACACACACACAGATGTTTTTTGTTTTTTTTGTTCTTTTTAGGACTTTGCGTTGATTCCCAGAAATAAAATAAATATATAAAATATCAATAAAATAAATTCAAATGAATCTTGAACAGACATTGACACCTTTCAATTTTTCTTCCTTTTTTCCCCCCTCCTGTCTTTTTCAGGAACGTCTGTTGCTGTCAGTGTTACCAAGGCATGTTGCCATGGAGATGAAGGCTGACATCAATGCCAAGAAGGAAGACATGATGTTTCATAAGATCTATATCCAGAAACATGACAATGTCAGGTCAGCCAGGACACTGGGCCTCACGACTGTGATCATGTCAAGATATTTATCACCTCAAACACAGAACACAGGGTTCATTTCATTCCATTTTTTTAAGCAGCATTTTATCTGTGATAGTCATTTCATTCCATTTATATTCTATATTCTATATTCTATATATCTATTATTAATATATCTATTTATTTATTTATATTTTCTCCTCGTGCTGAATTTTCTTTATTGTAATTTTAAAACTTACTTTGCAACTTAAAATTTAAAAACCTCATAACATTACATTTTATTTTGCTTCACTGGTCTTTCACTGGTATTTTCAATTTCAGTGAAATTGAAAATACAATCCACTGAAGTAAACTCCGTTAAAGTTTCTTTTTTTTTTGTTCTCGTTGTTAGTCATTATGAACTCAATCCCATGAGTCACAGCGTCGTTCGACATCTGCTGCTCGTGATCACCTTCCACCTACATCCTCGCAAATATTTGAGTTGTTTTATAATTGGACAAACAATGTGAAAAAGTGAGCTGCACAAACATCAGGGACAAATACTCTCCACAGTCATTCTGATTGGATCCTGGGCTGACCACGCCCACTGACCACGCCCACTGACTGATCAGCTGACAACAGTCACTTTAACCTGAGTTTTAACCAGCTTTACATCCAAATTAATTATATTTTTCTAAATTATTTACATTTGTCCTACTGATAATTATGTAAAAAAAAACTTAAATACTGTAATTTAAATATATTTTATATTGTTTATATGGAAACTAAAATATATTTTTCTGGTAGGTTTCGTTCTGGTTCCTGCAGACAAACAAAATAACAAACAAACCATAAAAAAAAAAAAAAGACACCCACATATATTTGTGTGTATTCGTGCAGTACAGCAGAGGGTTGGCTAATTAGCATTAGTGAGGGAATACTTAATCATCAGCAGCCAAGATCAGATAATCCCCAAAGATGGAGAGCTGCAGCACACTTTCAATTACAGCACTGGGCAAACGTGACACAAGGACACACACACACACACACACACACACATTCAGATCTACCCTACAAGGAGACATCGAGGTCAAACACATCAGCCGACAGTGAAACTCGGAGACTGAATCTCCGCAGACGTAAATGTAAAAATCTGGGGCTAATCTGACGCAGCGATCAGACAGGAGTCGGAGTTTTCCTGCAGATGACGTGAACACTCGCTGGTTCAATGAACTGTTTACACAACAAACTTTTTTTTTATGGCATGAAAATGTCGTCCATTCTCTGTCAGCGAATCACAGGAAACACTTCTGAAACACTGTTGCTCACTTCCTCCTGAGGAAGGTTGTAAAATCTTTTACTTTACCTTCTTTTTTTCTCTCTCTCTCTCTCTTCCGTCCACAGTATTCTGTTTGCAGACATCGAGGGCTTCACCAGTCTGGCGTCTCAGTGCACGGCTCAGGAGCTGGTCATGACGCTCAATGAACTCTTCGCCCGGTTTGACAAGCTGGCCTCAGTAAGAACTCACGGCCATCGTGTTGAAAAACAGTTGAAGTTTGTCGTAAAGACCAGACCTCATTTGGTTTTGGATAAAATTTTGTTTAGGCTTAAATAAAGGTCACGTGTCAGTGTGAACAGACCGGGGGCCCCCGAGGCCCTGGGCCATGTTTGGCACTTTGTCCGCCCCTGTGTGGCCTGTCAGTTCATTTGTGTTTTTTTCTTCTTCTCTGTTTTCAAGGAAAACCACTGTTTACGTATTAAGATTTTGGGGGATTGTTACTATTGTGTTTCGGGCCTGCCTGAACCCCGGGCTGACCACGCCCACTGCTGCGTGGAGATGGGTGTGGACATGATAGAGGCCATCTCGTGAGTACACGTGACGTTTGTTCTGGAGAGTTTTCAAACCTCTGTCCGCCTGATGACAACGATCCTCATGTTTGTTTACAGGTTGGTGCGTGAGGTCACAGGGGTCAACGTCAACATGCGTGTGGGCATTCACAGTGGGCGCGTGCACTGCGGCGTGCTGGGACTCAGGAAATGGCAGTTTGATGTGTGGTCAAACGATGTCACGCTGGCCAATCACATGGAGGCAGGAGGCAAAGCAGGGTGAGAGAAAGAAGAAAGAAGTAAATTTCCCTTTTCTACCACAAGGGGGCAGGATCTGTTATGCAAGACGGACAGAAAAGCTGCATGTGATGTTAGCGTCGTAGATTACCTTATTTATTTTTTGTTCTGTTTTTTTTTTCTCCTCTGCAGACGGATCCACATCACAAAGGCCACACTGCAGTATCTTAACGGCGACTACGAAGTGGAGCCTGGTTTTGGGGGTGAGAGGAACGCCTATCTCAAGGAGAACAGCATTGAGACCTTCCTGGTCCTTGGATGCAGCCAGAAGCGGGTCAGTAAAAAAAAAAAAAACAAACCCCAAAGCTGTTTGGTCAAGGTTCAGAAATAGATGAAAATTCCCATGATGTCGTGATGAAAATAACCGCCTGAATATTTGTCCCTGGGAGCAGAAGGAGGAGAAGGCCATGATGGCCAAGATGCAGAGGACGAGAACTAACTCTAACGAGGGGCTCGTGGCACGCTGGGTCCCTGACAGGACCTTCTCCAGGACCAAAGACTCCAAAGTCTTCAGGCAGATGGTGAGACTCATGATCAACAGACTCTTCCAACCTGGAAGAACCTGGAAGAACCTGTAGACCCGTTGTTAACGTCTTGATTCTTTCTTGTCCAGGGGATTGATGAGACGTCCAGTAAAGACAAGTGAGTACTCACTCTTAGAGTTTGTAAAAAAACATGAGGAGAACCTGCTTCTGACTTCATCTTCTCCTGGTCTTCACAGCCGTTGTGTTCAAGAGGCCTTAAATCCAGAGGACGAGGTGGACGAATTTCTCGGTCGAGCCATCGATGCTCGTAGCATTGACCAGCTGAGGAAAGATCACGTCAAGAAGTTCCTGCTCACGTTCCAGACCCCCAGCCTGGAGAAGAAGGTTCTAGTAAAAGTCCATGAGCGACTTCCTCACAGAAGCTTTCCTTTTGGTCCAGCTCCTCCTAAAACTCCTCCTCTTCCCTTTGTTATTCCTGTGATAGTATTCCAAGAAGGTGGACGATCGTTTTGGAGGCTACGTCGCTTGCACTCTGCTGGTATTCTGCTTCATTTCCTTCATACAGATCGTCGTCTTTCCTCAGTGAGTATTCAGACATTTCACAAGTATCCTGGTAAAGTTCATACACATATGTATGAAATATTATATATATTATATTACATATATTTATGTATATTTATATGTATGTATATATGTATGTATATAAATATAAGTATATATTTATACTTATATATTTGCATATACACATATATAAATATACATATATATGTGTGAATATATGAATATATAAATATATTTATATATTTATATATTTGCATATACATATATGTATGTGTGAATACATAAATATGTGTATCTATTTATATATGTGTATTAATATATTCACACATACTCTATAATTATAAAGTATATGTACATACAGTATATACTTATATAAACATATACTGTATATGTAGCACGTGTATGTAGCTTTTCGTACAGTTAGGTTAAAGCTAAAAATAAAAATACTGTTTATTTTTTTACCCGCCTTATTGTTGTCACTTTTTTACACCAACCTCTATGGATGAAACTGAATTGAGTCACTAAGTCACATGACGACTCACTCCTTTTCACTGCAGCACTCCAGTCATGCTGGGAATCTACGTCACCATCTTCTTCATCCTGGCCAACATCCTGTTCATCTGTGCCATTTACTCCTGCATTAAGGTAAGACCGTGGTCGTCGTCTTCTCCTCGAGTCGCTGTGTCACGTGGGCTGCAACCCATTTGTCCCCGCTGTCCTGTAGGTCTTCCCAGGTCCGATGCAGACCGTGTCGAAGAAGATCGTCCAGTCACGCACCAACAGCACTCTGGTGGGGGTGTTCACCATCGTCCTCGTCTTCATCTCTGCTTTTGTTAACATGGTACGAGAGCAGTAAGGCACCGCAAACGCACACACGTACAATGTTATTGTTATTAAAAAAAAAAAAAACACCCAGCACCAGGTGAAGTGGACCATGGTTCGGACATGAGAATATTGTTTAATTTACCAGAAGCTTGACTGAATTTTGACAGTCGAGCTTAAGTAATCACCGTGATGCTAATGACTAAGGAGGAAGTGATGACTAATCGTGATTAATTACGATCATGAGTACCCGCACACACGTACAATGTTATTGTTATTAAAAAAAAAAACACCCAACAACTTATATATTGAAATATATAATTTCACATATTTGTTATTTTCACACTGACAACCGCTAGAGGGCACTGGTGCTACTTATACTCCGGAGAAATTTATAGTCCATAAAATAAAATTAAAAGTTGTTCTTGTTTGACATTTTCCCCCTGGGAATTAATATTTTTTTGGGATTCTGATTCTGATTTTGATATTTTTTATTTTTATTTTTTTTTTATTATTTCTGTGTAGACCAGTATCAAATAAACCAGAGCCTTTTACTGGTCTGGGATCAGTGGTTAAAGACACGTAAAAAACCTGAAATAATTGAATGTACATAAACAATACAAATACTGAAGTACTGAAGCAGCGTGTACGTGTGTGTATGTTGTACTACTGTAGTTTTCCTGCGACACTACGAGCCTGGCGGCCTGCGTGGCGTCGCATCTGAACACCTCAGCCGCTCTGGTGACGCCGTGTCTAATCCGCAGCTTGAATGTGTCCATAGAGGGCGGTCTTGAGATCTGCCCCAGCCACGGCCCCTCCTGCCCCTTCCCAGAGGTAAGTAGGTTGCAGGTTCTGCGTCGGTGACATCTGTGTTCTGTGCCCTGCGGAGCTGTGTTGTGTTGATGAACGCCCCCTCCTCTCTCTCCGATGTCAGTATTTCAGCTACAGCGTGCTGCTGACGCTGCTAGCCTGCTCGGTGTTCCTGCAGATCAGCAGCATCGGGAAGCTGGCCCTCATGCTGCTCATTCAGCTCATCTTTCTACTGCTGGTGGAGTGGCCACAAGTAGCACTTTTCGACAACGCCGACCTCTTCGTCACCTCTAATGCCATGTAAGTGACACGGACGGAAGCAGTTTCTCTGGTCCAACGTTAAACTGTGGGAAAAACTTCATGTTTCCACGGCTCTGATTACAGCACTTTTTAAATGTTTTTTTTATGATGATGTAACGTATTTTCTGGACTATGAGTTGCACATTTTTTCATTCCTTTGACTATGTTTGCGACTTATACTCAGGTGCGATTTATATATTAAAATATATAAATTTGCATTCACATTGACAGCCACTAGAGGTCACTGGTGCGACTTATGGTCTGGAAAATACAGTAGAATCCCAGCTTCTGTGTCCGTCTCCAGATGAATGTTCCATTTTTCTAATGTCAGTTGTTGGTTTCATTTGCAGTGATTTGAACGAAACTAGAACTCACTGGTAAGTCATTTCAGTTAAATCCTTTATACAGAATACTTGGAAAATATTTGTATCCCAGTACTACTGTTATTGGTACCACTGATTATTATTACTGTATTAGTATTAGTAGTATTAGTACTAGTATTATTATTAGACTACAACTGGGACCATTCCATTCAGTACTAATTCGAACCACACACACCTTCACACACTGCTGCCTGGCTCAGTGGCTCCGACTCTTGTTATGTTAATATTCTGGGAGTATCACTTTAGACCCATCACTTTTTTTAAGCCCTTCATTTATACACACCTGCACCTCACTGTTTGTACCACAAGAGGGAGTCCAAGGTCCACCAGTGGTCCGTTTACAGTAGTTTATATTAGAGTAGATTACTGATTACAGACTGAGGAGATTGTTGAGGACAAATGATGTTCCTTTGATCTAAAGAGAGATTTTATTTTTTTTATTTTTAGGTCCAGTTTTAATGACACCGCCATCCAGTGGTAAGATCACAGTCATTCTCTTCCTCCATCCTTTCTTAATAAAAAAAATATTATAAATTTAAGGGAAATGTGTTTCAGCTCAACTTTATCAATGCAATAACATGATAATAAATTATAATGTATCATTTTTTTCAGTTAAAAATATAAATCTGTCCACTTGCAGCCCACTAGTCGTGACCAAAGTGTCTCTGAGGGTCATGACCCCGGTCATTCTCACCGTCTTTGTCCTGGCACTGTACCTGCACGCCCAGCAGGTGGAGTCCACTGCTCGCCTGGACTTCCTGTGGAAGTTACAGGTACATACCACATCACACCACAGAGGGGCGATATTTGACCTGAATCTCAGTATTGAACATTATTCTCCTTCTCAGGCCACAGAGGAGAAGGAGGAGATGGAGGAGCTGCAAGCCTACAACCGTCGACTTCTCCACAACATCCTGCCTAAAGACGTGGCCGCTCACTTCCTGGCTCGTGAGCGGCGTAACGACGAGCTCTACTACCAGTCCTGTGAGTGCGTGGCCGTCATGTTCGCCTCCATCAGCAACTTCTCTGAGTTCTACGTGGAGTTGGAGGCCAACAACGAGGGAGTGGAATGTCTCCGTCTGCTCAACGAGATCATCGCTGACTTCGATGAGGTAAAGTTGAAGAGGGTTAGGGTTAGAGATTTTCTTTAAATAGAATCGTTTCGCTGCAGTACAGTGTTTCAACGAGCTTCTTTTACTCACAGCAGATACTTGACCTCGGGGTCCGTTTAGTTGAACACAACATTTATACTGTGGTAGACAGCTGTCGTAGACCACTGTAGTAGACTGCTGTCGTAGACCACATTCAGAATCAGATCCAGTTTCACTACACTTTGCCTCTTCCCGGCCTCAGATCATCAGCGAAGAGAAGTACAGGCAGCTGGAGAAGATCAAGACCATCGGTTCCACCTACATGGCGGCCTCAGGTCTCAACGATTCCACCTACGACAAAGAGGGTCGCAGCCATATCACAGCGCTGGCCGATTACGCCATGAGACTGAGGGAGCAGATGAAGTACATCAACGAGCATTCGTTCAACAACTTTCAGATGAAGATCGGTAATGGAAGTAGCGTGAGGAGACGATGAAGCGCTGTGTTTGAGATGTTGTCATTAAAGTGTGGACTTCCTCCCCCAGGTCTGAACATTGGGCCTGTGGTAGCGGGGGTCATCGGGGCACGGAAGCCTCAGTACGACATCTGGGGAAACACGGTCAACGTGGCCAGTCGGATGGACAGCACGGGTCTGCCGGACCACATACAGGTGAGACGGGGGGATGGTTTCAGTCAAAGTCAGAGGCAATGTCTCTGTCATTGGTGTGGAACCAGGGTTCACCTCCTGGGCAAGTTCAAATCTCTGTTAGGGTGGTTGGTACCTTCCAGTGGACTCACCACCTGCAGGAAGGTTTAGGGGGGTTGGTACGGTGCAATGTGATGTGGGTGGAGACTGCTGCCCCTGCGACCCGGTAACGGATAAGCGGATGAAAATGGATGGACGGAAATTTTTTCTAAAAATTTTTTTTAAATCTTTTTTTCTTAACATTTTTCAAAAAAAAAATTGTTTCTAAAATTTTTGAAAAAAAATTTTTTGTTTTTGGTAAATCTTTTTTTCTTAACATTTTTCAAAAAAAAAATTGTTTCTAAAATTTTTGAAAAAAATTTTTTGAAAAGTTTTTGGAAAAAAAATTTTTTTCTAAAATTTTTTTTTTTTGAAAAATTTTTTTTTGAAACAATGCAATGTGATGTGGGTGGCGACTGCTGCCCCTGGGACCCGGTAACGGATAGGCGGATGAAAATGGATGGATGGATGTTCACACTGACCGCCACTAAAGGGCACTCTAGCTTGTTGGTGGGGCGACTTATAGTCTGTAAAATACGGTACTTGGATCTACATTTCTTCTGCTCTGAACTCTCCTCCTCCTGTGTTGACAGGTGACCGCCGACCTCTGCCGGGTGCTCGCGGGCAAAGGCTACGTACTCGAGTGTCGCGGCGTCGTCAAAGTCAAAGGTAAAGGGGAAATGACGACCTACTTTCTGAACGACGGACCACCCAACAGTTAGCAGCCACGGCCGCAGCAGCAGATTCTGGGAGGTTCCTCCCTCCTTCCCTCCCTCCCTCCCTCCTCCCCCCCGGGGGCTGGTCGGAGAACACCCCTGAGTGAGGACTCACGGTGGGAGGCAGTGGCTGAACAGCAGAAATGCCATCACTTGAATCCCAGGCAAATGAAACGAACCTTTGAAGACTTTAGAAAATGAAAGAGAGGAAGATGTTGTGGTTGTGGCTCAGGTGCAGGTTGAAGGACGTGTTTCCCTCATGTCTAGCCTCTCCCTCAGGCTTCTTGAAAGATGCAAAGTCTGTTTGTTTGAAAACAATGCCTTTTAGCCTGTGTCAAAGAAGATTATTGCTGTACATAAGGCTATTCTTTTATTTTGACCTTTGTGGGATGTTTTTTTTTTTTTTTTCCACATGATTATGAAGAGGTACTCATATTTCCTTTACGGATTAACTATTTATTTTGAACTCGATGTTTTGTGCAAAAGGTCCTTTATGAAAAAGTGTGAACACATACGTGCACAAATATCCAGTTAATTACACGTTTATAAGTGTGTATGTACATGCATATTTGTGTGTGTATGAATATATGTATAAACAGAGGAGGAGTATATTGACCAAAGACTAATGTATTTACTAAAAGCAAGTGGAGTGGATCTGTTTGATTGGTCCTGAGTCCAGTCAGCAGTGACTTCAGACTCTTTTATATTCGGCAGCAGGCCTGGATTTTGGGATTTTCATTTGGTTTGTTTTTTTCCCTGCCCAATCGCTGCATCGTTATTTAAAAAACGCAGACGTGTGAAATGATTTCTATTGGCTGTCAGTCAAACAGCTGGATATTAGCTCTGAACTCACCCCGTGAAACCACAAGGTATTACTACGTCATGTGACCGATGGGGTTAGGCAGCAGCAGTCAGACTTTTGATTC